AAACCACCATCAAAGAACGTTCGGACAGGATGCGGGATACTCTGAACGCCAAGCTGAGGGAGAGTCGAAGCAAGATGGAAGAGGAATACAAGAAGAAGGATGAGGATCTCAAGCTCAAGTTCGAGCAAGAAAAGCAGATCTGGCTCGCCGAGAACCCCACAGCCAGAAACGCCGATGCCACCAAGACTGAGCCAGTAGATCAACCCCCTGTAACACCGGCCAAAGCAGAAGCCCCTGCTGTGCCTGCAACACCTTCATCCGTTGGACAAACCGATTTGTCTCAACTCGATGATACTGGTATTCGACAATTCTTGGCGACTAACCCTACCGTTAAGAATATTGTTGCCGCCAACATCAAGAAGAAGCTTGAGATAGAAAGCTCCAAACTCAAAGCGGAGCTGGAGTCAACACTCAAGACCGAATACGAACCCAAGATTGCTGCAGCTAGGGATCAAGCCCAGCTCATGGAGTCCAAGAAGTCAACTCTGCGCATCAACATGGCTGAGAACAAGCTGAGAGCAGCCAATGCTAAGATTAGTGTAGTTGAGAAGGCTGTTTCCGAAACTCCTCAGAAGCCTGTGGTCGAGGTTTGGGAAGTGGCCAAGGTTGCTGTGGCCCCCCCAGCAACACCGGCTGCAGCAAAGCCTACTCCGGCCAGGCAGGGTTCGGTTGCGGGCGTGCCTCCATCACCATCCCCTGCAACACCCGCAGCTGGTGCTAAGGCTGCTCAGGGGACACCAGCTGCAACTCCGGCGGGACAACAACAAGCAGGCTCAGAGTCTAAGCCAGCGCAGGCAGCAGCGGCAGCGGCAGCCCCAGCAACCAGTGGAATTCCCGGTCCCAAGACCAGCAATCCATTTGCTGTTCCAGCTAACGCTGCAACAGCGGCTGCACCAAACCCATTTGCTACTAAGAATGAAAATGGTGTAGCACCCGCTGCTAAGCCAAGTCAGCAACAGACGCAAGCGCCCCAGCAGCAGGGACAGCAGCAGGGACAGCAGCAGGGCCAACAACAAGGTCAACAACAAGGTCAACAACCAGTCCGATCTGGCATCCCCATGCCTCGTGGTGGCGGACGCGGAAGAGGTGGAGCTTATGTGCCTCCTGGCCAACGTGCAGCCAGTGGACCTCAAGAGGGTGGACATGGTAATGCTGGCCGTGGAGGACGAGGAGGCCGTGGTGGTGGACGCGGTGGTATGAACCCCAGTGCCAACGATTTCCAGCCTGGCAACAAGCGGCCACGAGGAGATTCGGAAGTTGGTGGAGGAGCCAAGCGAGCGCGCGGAGCGCATTAGTAGAGCGCCGGGGTTGGGATATCTGAAATGTACAACATGAAAAAGGCATGTAATTATTGTGTTTTGGTCATTAAAGGGGATAAGAGAATGGATGACGGTTCATTTGGGAGTGTTGCAACAGCATTATTATGTCTCATCTACTTATTGGGTTCCTAAATGGAAAAAGAAATATATTTCCTTGGTTTTTACAATCTTAAGTCCCCTGCCGTCTAGAATACAGGTGGTTGATTGACTGCGATGATAATTATTATGAGAATACTCTTAGTGATGACTTTATTTGAGTATGCTTAGAGTGAGACTAGAGTAGCATCCTAGTATATGGGACCTCACATCGCATGATCATCTTGAAAATCCGCTTATCTCATCTCATTGTTGCGACCGTGGAAGTCAGAAGTATAAGTATCACCCGTGAGAACCAAACGCATCTCCAGCGACTGATGCTCTGTTGTTGGTGGAGTGTCGGCGGATCGGCACCAGCTTTTGCCGATAACGATAAGCTAAGAAAAAGTTCGGAGGAAAACAAAAAATTGGGGACCTTCCTACAGACTTCGAGATCAAACTCGACAACAGAAACCACGTTCAGCCGACTCACTAACGAAAAGAAACGGCGAAAAGCGAAACAGATATCGCCTTGGAAAGAGGCGACTCGAATTTATTCAATGGTGCCCCCTTCGAAGAAGCGCAAGCTTCCAACTGCGACCGGTCCAGCCTCGAAACGATCAAAGAACATCTCCAAGAAGAAATCCGGCGGAAAAGAATCGCGCCGAGCCGTCGACGCTACAGCCCTCGCTTGGTCATCGGTAGGCGAGGACTTTGGAGGACTAGAGGTTATCGAGGGCGTGGACGTGGTCAAGGATGGTAGCAGAGTGCAATTCCTCGTGGCTGGCGACAAGGGCAACATAATCGATCCTCAACAAGAAGTCCTCGATGGGGACCAATCTTTTGAAGGGTTTGGCGACGACCCTGTGGAGGTCGGGGATATCAATCCCGGCGAAGCTGGCAGTGGTCAAGGTGGCTTGGAGAGCGAGAAGCCTCAAGGGAAGAATAAGGGCAAGGCTGGGCAAGGGAAAGCAGAGCAAGAAAAGGTCAAGAAGAACAAAAACAAAGACAAATTGGATGGGAAGAACAGTGGCACCAAAAAAGAAGACGAGCAGCTGGACAAGGCCTCGAAAGTCGTACAAAAGTCCTCTGCACGCGGGGGCAACACGTTCGGCGCGTTGGCCGATGCGAACGACTACGCAGACCAAGAAGACGTCGACATGGCGGCCTGGGTTCCTCTGAACCTATCACCTCAGATCCTCTCAGCCATCGCGAAACTCAACTTTACCAAACCGACTTTGATTCAGGAGAAGACGATTCCCGAGATTCTGGCTGGCGACGACGTTATTGGCAAGGCACAGACAGGTTCAGGAAAGACATTGGCTTTCGGTATTCCCATGGTTGAGCGCTGGCTGGAGCTGCAAGAACAAGGCGTCGAGAGAACTGGTCCCATGGCTGTGGTACTTTCTCCTACACGAGAATTGGCTAAGCAATTAGGTGATCATCTCAAGGCACTCTGTGACGGTCTTCCCAGCGCGCCGTACGTGTGTGTTGTGACAGGTGGTCTCAGCATTCAGAAGCAGCAGCGACAATTGGAGAAGGCTGATATCGTTATTGGCACACCAGGTCGTTTATGGGAGGTCCTCAGTGGCGACAGGGCTTTGCAAAGCAAATTCGCCAAGATCAAGTTCCTTGTTGTCGACGAAGCCGATCGACTTTTTAAAGTTGGTCAATTCAAGGAGGCAGAGGATATTATTGGCGCTCTCGATGGAAAAAGCCCCGGCGACGACGCAGAGAGCTCAGGCGAGGACGAGGATGATGATGATGATGAAGAGGATGATGACCGTAATGCACGACAGACATTGGTCTTTTCAGCAACCTTCGACAAGGACCTTCAGACCAAGTTGGCTGGAAAGGGCAAATCTACAGGAAACGATGAGGAGAAGATGGCTTATCTGATGAAGTGTCTGAAGTTCAGGGGTGAGCCTAAATTCATCGACGTCAACCCCGTAAGCCAGATGGCTCAGGGCTTGAAGGAGGGACTTATTGAGTGTGGTGCTATGGAAAAGGTGAGCTTGCAGGATAAGCAAGACAGACTCATCATGCTAACCTTGTACAGGATCTTTATCTCTACACCGTTCTCCTTCTCAACCCTGGTCGCCGCACTCTCGTCTTCACCAACTCCATCTCTGCTGTTCGCCGTCTAACGCCCCTTCTCTCAAATCTTAACCTCACAGCTCTACCTCTGCACTCTCAAATGGCACAAAAGGCGCGCCTTCGTTCACTTGAGCGTTTCACTGCTGCTCGCAATTCTATTCTCATTGCCACGGATGTTGCCGCACGTGGTCTCGATATCAAGCAGGTTGATCAAGTTCTGCACTACCATGTCCCCCGATCTGCCGATACTTACATCCATCGATCTGGTCGTACAGCTCGTGGCGAGTCTAGTGGCGTGAGTGTGATTCTGTGCTCACCTGACGAAGTCCTTCCTACACGACGTCTTGCAAGCAAAGTTCACGCCGAGCGTAGCTCGGGTGCAAAGAGAGAGCACTTTATTCAGACTCTCCTTATTGATCGAAGGATGGCATCGCGTCTCAAACCCCGCGTGGACCTGGCCAAAAAGATCGCCGATACTGTACTAGCCAAGGAAAAGGCTCACAGCGACGATACATGGCTACGAAATGCAGCTGATGAACTTGGAGTAGAATACGACTCTGAAGATCTCGAGGCTGTCAACGCAAGCGGTGGTAAGGGTGGTCGAGGTGGTGGACGAAGGAGAAAGGAGCAGGCAGCCAAGAGCCTGTCTAAGGCCGAAATGGGTGCTTTGAAGGCTCAGCTGAGAGAGGAGTTGAGCAGAAGAGTGAACCTGGGTGTTAGTGAGAGGTATATCACGGGTGGAAGAGTGGACGTTGGTGCTCTTTTGAGAGAGGGGAAGAACGGGGGTATTTTCCTGGGAAATACAGATGGATTGGGGTTTGACTTGTAGTTATAGAGAGCGTGTTCAGTTGAGCCTGAGCCTATGACAGGCAAAAATGGCCAAGTTACAATGCATCTATCGAATAACAAAGTTCTGTTCACACTATTGAGTCGTTGACATGTTTAAACCAGTACAATCCCTAGACCCAATATGGCAAGCTATTAGGATGCATCTGAGAAGCTGATCGATGTTTGTTTCTCTTTCCGGGGTAGATAGTAGACACTACTCACACCATCGGTCGTCCTCTTTGAGCCGCGCAACCGCGGGCAACTTTGAGTTGGCCGCGGATTTCGGCTGTGGGGATGCCATGTAACAGACTACCATGCATATGTGCCTGAACAAGTCACAAAAGTGAGGAGTACACAAAGCAAAATGGATCGTAGATTTAGGACTTATTATCGATAGGAAGGCGCATTTTTGTAAGACTGGATGTAATATTGGTCTATGACATACTCGTGGGTGAGTATACAGCAGATACTATCCTGTAAATACAGTTTCATGAAGGAGGGGAAGTCAAGGCATTTATGATTCACTATGCACTACAAAGCACTGAAGTAGATCCCGAGCTACGTCTAGAGAGTCGAGATCCACAACATCAACTACAACCTCGCCTCGTAGTTGGGACTGACGCATCCCCGCGGGAAACTTCAGATCAGCCCACACCACAAAGATAACGAATGCAGAGCAGCCAGACATAGATTCCCCCCTCATGACATGTGGGGTATTGAAGATGCATAAACTAGATAGATATAAAAAGACCCTGATAGTCCATCAAAATATTCTCCTACCTCACCACCAAACACAGCGTCACAAGCTCAAAATGCCTTCCTTAACCACCCCCGAATCCCCATTCACCCCAAAAGTCCAAGCCAAGTTGCTTGCCAGCCGGGAGAAAGCCTCTCGCGACTTCCGCTCAGATGTCGTTACCGTCCCCGTTGAGGAGATGATGACATCTATTCTCGATGCCTCGGTAAACGACGATATCTACGATCCTGAAGGCGACCCCTCTGTCAAGGCTCTCGAGGCTCGACTTGTCGAGCTGACGGGCATGGAGGCTGCTCTATGGGCTGTTTCTGGTACTCAGGGGAACCAAATTTGTTTGAGAACGCATCTTACCCAACCGCCGCATAGTGTACTGTTGGATCATAGGGCACATGTGCATTGCTGGGAGAGTGGTGCTCTGCCGGTGATTTCGCAGGCGAGTGTCTCGACGGTCCATGCAGAGAATGGGGTGCATCTGACCTTGGAGGATGTTAAGAAGAATATCATCGCGGACGGGAACAGTATGTTGATTTGTCCCGATATATGATACGCAACTAACTTGATAGTTCACTTCCCACCTACGAGGGTCGTGTCTCTTGAGAATACCCTCTCAGGCACTATCCTACCCCTTGCTGATGCCCAAGCCATCTCAAACTATGTCCGTTCATTCCCTGTACCGGAAGGCCAGAAGCCTATTGCCACGCATCTCGATGGAGCCCGTGTCTTTGACGGCGTGATCGGAGAAGGTGTTGATCTGAAGGCCTACGCAGCCTGCTTTGACAGTATATCCATCTGTCTAGCCAAAGGCATCGGTGCTCCAATGGGCAGCGTCATCCTCGGCAAGAAGCCCTTTATTGAACGGGCAAAGTGGTTCAGGAAAATGTTGGGAGGAGGAACTCGACAACCGGGCATGATGGCCGCTGCAGCTCTATCAGCGCTTGAGTACAGCATCCCAAGGTTTCCGTCTGTGCACGCCATGACGAAGGATGCTTCTGCGAGACTCGAAGCAGTGGGATACAAGTTCACACTTCCTGTTCAGACCAACATGATTCTGCTGGATCTGGAAGCCGCTGAGATTCCACCCGCGGCATTCGTTGAGTATTGCGCAAAGGAGGGTGTTTCGGTCTTCCCCATGGCCAGGCTCGTCTTTCATCATCAGACGTCTGAAGTGGCTGTTGATAAGTTGGTGACGGCGTTGACAAGGTTGATGGGGGACAAGCGTAACGGCGTGACTCTTAATGACGGAGAGGCCCACGGAGGGTACAGCTAGATTGTGCAATAGCTGACTTGATCATGTTGATTTCTTTCTTCGAATTTCAATGCATGCGTCCAGGGGAGGAATGATCGTGGCGCCCATCCACTGGGGCTTTGGTCGTTTCTCGAGTGTTTTGAGGTCGTAGTTGAGAAGGAATGCAGCCATGATGAGCTTGAGCTCATGAGCAACGAAGAATCTGCCAGGACTTCACAATGTTAGCATTGAAACTCATGGATATCCATGAGACTCACCAGGCATGTCGACCGTGTCCAAAAGCCAAGTGGGCATCACTAGTCGTCACCATTCCCAATCCTCTTATCTTCTTGGCCTCCTCCTCCTTTTCCTGCTTCTCCTCGGCCGACTTTGCTTCCCACTCTTCTCGGACTCGTGAGTATCGCCAGGGATCATAGCTCATGGCGTCCTCATAAATCTCGTCGTCGTGGTGCGTTCCTTGCAAGTTGACCGTCACGAATGCCCCGCGCGGCAAAGTCCATCCGTAGTCAGGGTGATGCAGACCTTCTGGTGCAATAACTTGCCGCTCGATGAGGTTGGCGGCAAAGTTACTTACACGCTGGGATTCGCGAATGGACGAGTCGACGCGTACGAGAGAAGACAGGGCCTGTTTCGTCCAGTGGCCCTCGGAGGGCTTATGTTCGAGGATCTCGTTGCGCAGTGCATCGAGAACAGATGGTGGGGAAGAAAGGAAGTCCAACATCCAAGATTGACCTGTCAGGACGGTTGTGTGGATAGCAGCAAAGTTGATTGGTAAGAGCCGCTTAGAGATGACAACGGGATCAAGCTCAAAAGGCTTCTTCTCTGCCATCGCAAGACGAATATCCCAAGTGATGAAGTCCTCTGGAGGCGTGTAGTTCTTCATCTCAGGGTCGCCAGCCTCCTGACGCTGCATATGTTTCAAGCGCTGTTCAATGATAGGCAGTAAGACACGAGATGCCTTGCGCCAATGGAGATAGTTTGGTATGGTGATCAAACGGCCAATGATCGGATGGAGAACTTGAGGGAATCCATGTAGCAAGAAGCTGTTCATTACAACGTTGTCAGTGAAGCTCACCATCGACTTCAAGATGTCAGGGTTTCGACATGCTGGGTTGCCAACGAGAAGACGGTTTGTGACGCGCGGGACAATCGCAAGCCAAAGATCCCAGAGATTGACCTTCGTATAGCCTTCACCATCGACATTTTTGGGGTCCTTCTCAGCAGCTGCTCTCATCATGGTCTCTAGTGCATGCTCAACAGCACCGTTGACTTCGTCTTCGACTGCTGGTATCGCTGATGACAAGTTGCGGGCGAGGTACTTGTGCATGACGCGATTCGCAAAGGGCTCCGCGGCGAGATCTTTTCCGAGGAAGTTATACTCTGTGTAGAGGATCTTGTCGTGGGCGTGGGATGCTGAGAGGATTCGATCGGGTTGCTCCATCATCCAGGCGATTTGTGAACGGGGAAGGATGACGTCTGGAGGACGCGATATGGGCGCCGGAGCAATAAACGGAAGGTCATTTTTGCCGTACTATTTCTCTTAGAAAATGAGTAGTGGTAGCGTGGGTTGGGGGGTCTACCTTTTCGTAGCCTTCGCCAATCCAGGCTTGGTGTTGAGTGAAGTAGGCGAGACTGTTCCTGATTCTGGAGAACCATTTCTCTGAGCTGTGACCAAGAACTGGAATTTCAGAAGGATAACGCGGTTGAGTGAGCAAATCGACAATGAACGATACGAGCAAGAAGAGAGAGCCGAAGAGCAAGACGCGAGTGAAGGTGACTTCGGTCAATTGCTCGCCCAGGACAGTCATGATGATACTTCTCCAGAGAAGATAAAATCAATTAACGAGAGTATTTACACAAGAAACAAAAGGAAGAGAAAGAAGAGGAACTGCCAGACTAGATAAAACCGTCTCTCCTTAGCCAAGCGCCACATCTTATCAACGCAGCTGAAGAGCTAATGGTAATGCTGTCATGTTGATAAGTCAATTGTCATCCCGAGGTACTTCCCCATGAAGCTACCGCAGCAGTTAGTTCCATGTTTTCTCCTTGGAATGCATCATGTTAGTTTGAGAGACGTCTTGTCCGTCTCAGGCCCAGGGATGGATGACGTGAGGAATTGGGTGATTGGCTGGTGTATGCGCTAAGCTTTCGATTTACAGGGGGAAGTTCCAGCTGCAGGGGGCACTGTTCTATTTTAGCATCAGAATCTCATGATGCTACCGCAAATCTCTTATCTTAACTCAAACATTATGTTCAGATGATAGACTCTCCACGGTATCGAGTCTCTTTCTCCCCGACCCTCCCATCTTGACCAGCTCAAGTCCATTCGTGATACTTCTCTCTCCCCTGATCAGGAGTCCAATCTCGCCAGGATGGAACCAGTTCATCCATACCAACACCAGCAGCATCAGCATACCATCAAACACAAATACCCAAACCTCGCTGCGCATCAAGTGCCCGTCATTTCCTTCGATAAACTCAACCACCCTGAACAAACTCCTCACCCAGATCAGAATGCCTGTGACGTAGAGCGTCGTGAGATATGTCTGCCATCTTACGCGAGGTTCTAAGGATTTCGGGGTGGGGTCTCGATGCATTCGAATGTGGAATACCGCGCTTACGAGGATGAAGCAGCCAAAGAAGAAGAGCTGAACGAAAAGGCCTCCAACGATGATTTTTTCGCCCATTTTGCTGAGATCTGCAATGGCCATGAGACCACCACCTAAAAAAGTCAGTCTTTCATCACTCGTTCACAACAAGACAAGTGTCATACCTGATGATTGAAGCATGAACGATGCGACGTCTCCAAATACAAAGATCTTGGTGAGCCACTTCCGTCTAATCAACGAGTGGTGTTCACCCTCTGTCAGGAGAATGATTCTTCCCAAGATCATATAGATCGACGCTGCAAAGAGCGCAGGCGCAATGAGAATCAAGACACTCTGCATGATGTAGGGCCCCATCGTCCAGCATCCCGGCTCTTCATTTGTGTTTAAAACCCGCCCGATGTATCCGATAACCTCGCCTGGGTACCCTTGGTTAGTACGGTATCCTTGTTCGGATTGGAATGTGGGCAAAACGTACAGACTCCGCCCAGAACCAATGGTATTAAATACCACGTTTTTGTTCGCCAGAGTTGAAAGACATGTAGGAGCGTCGTCATCGCGAAGAGAACTACAAACACAATGTTTGCCTCTTTTGAGGGTACAAATCGATAGAATGCCCAAACGGCATCCTTGTAGTTGGGGTTGCAGTCCATGTTAACCACTCGACTAGTGTTTCCGATGTACGGTGAAAGTTTAGATAAAGTTTGAAAGATAAAATAAGAAGGGCTGGGAAAGGACAGGAAAAGAACAGGTAGTCTATACAGAGGAACAACCCTGCTAAGAACCGCAGAACCGCAGAACAACGTTTAGTTCGTACCATCAAAAAGAAGTAGTACCTATTTCTTGGACGTCCTCACGTCTTCTTTATAATCTATGTTTCTACCATCGAACTTACTCCCTTCGCACAGCCACGGCCATCCTCGTACATCTGATAAATCTCCGAACACTTTGCGAGTACTCGCAAATATCCATTCTTGTCCCGATGAAGCTCAAGTCTCATCATACTTTGCTTCAGATTGGCCGATCTGCCACTAACGGGAGCCTCAACGTCCCGACGACAAGGATGCTGACATACAATCTTTTCCTAAAACAAGCCTAGCGGTTCCGAGTACGCGTATAGATGGCTCGTTTCCGCGTATTTGTCATTGCTTCGCTCTGCATTGTCCCGAGTCCATGTGAAAAGAGTGTCTCTAAGCTGGTTTTCTCCTGTCTCTCAATTTTCTCTTCGCTTTGACGTTTGTTCGTGATACGAATCCGCGGGTTTACAAACCAATCATACAATGTCTTCTCGAAGAACTCATACCAAGTCTCGGACAGGCTGTACAAACTGTAAGAAGCGTAAAGTCAAGGTTCGTAAACTATAGCGCCCTTTCCTTACAGGAGATTTAGGCTTCTCCATAACCGTTTTCTGTGGCTAACCGAAGTAGTGTGATGAGGCTCGACCATCATGTTTCCACTGCACAAGACATGGCGTAACATGCAGTCTCGCGTCACAACCTCTGACTAGTCTAGGCATATCTTCAGTTGACAGCAGCAGTGACAGTCGTTCATCATATTTTCCCAACTTGAGCCCCTCAAATTCAACCCCAACTCCAACCCTGAGTTCCTTAGACAACCATCATCTAGTCGACTCCCCTGACCCCTTTGGCAGCTACAGTCACCCCAGTCCCACACAGCAGATCGCTCCCTTCCCTCCACATGAACTCTGGGCCCGCGATTGTGAGCTTATGCATCACTACTGCACAGTAACCGCAGATACCTTGTGTGTCCGGAAAGATCTGGCATACGTCTGGGGCGTCGCAATTCCAAGATTAGGTTATCAAGACCCTTTCGTCATGCATGGAATCCTTGCCATTGCCGCAGCCCACAAGGCCTATCTGGTGCCAGCTAATCGCAAGACGTATCTGCCATTGGCTGACTACCATCAAACTCTTGGCTCCGAGGGCTATCGCCGTTACCTCCAACACTATAACATGACCAATTGGATGCCTGTTTTTGGCTTTGCATCTCTCGTTGTGCTGCATATGTTGACGCTACCCACCCGGATGGATAACTGTGCACTGGAAGACCCCATCACAAATCTCATCGAACTTGCTGGGTTGTTAAGGGGTATCAAGACAACATTAGAGCCAGCAATGGGGCGGATAGTCAGGACAGAATTTGCTCCTGTCGTCTTCGGAATTTGGGTTCTTGACTCTGACGACGAGGCAGAACGGTATCCATGCCCAAGGCTGCGATCTTACCTGGAAAGAAGCTGACCCAAGCCATAGCTGTCCCTCTCTCGAAAACTCGTCTCTGCCCACAGATACATGGGCCGCATTGCAAAGGCTTCGAGCCTTCCAAGAAGCTGATATCCCTGCTAGCGGTCTGCAACAGTATACAGCAGCTATAGAAGGTCTGGAAACCTCTGCGAGACTATTTGCCGCTGCTGGGTTACATGCAGAGGTCGCAGCGGCACATTTTTGGCTATACATTATTGATGACAGTATACTCATCGACTTAGCTGCACAAAGGCCACATGCTCTTCTTCTCTTCGCACATTACCTTGTGCACTGGGCAGTATTTGAGAAAGGCTTCTGGTTCACGAGGGGTTGGTCTCGACAGGTGATGGCCAAGATAGAAGAGGGCTTGAGCGGCAGGCCAAATTTCTTAGAAATGATGCAGTGGCCCAAACAGATGGTCGCTGAAGCTGTTGTGTAGGCATGGGTGCCCTCAGCACCAGCATAAAGCGTTGTATTCTGTCCGGAATAAAGCCTGATAACCTTTGCTTGAAACATGAGTTGCTTAATTTGAATATTATAGAATGTGCCTTCGATCACAGTTCCGGTTCATTGACTGTATACTCGTTGCTCGTAGATATAAGCTGGAACGTACCCCAAGTACCCTCGTCCATATAATCAACCATATGCCAATATGCATCTCGGCGAGCAATTGAGGCCTCGTCTGATAATCTCAAAGGCAACGACTCTTCAGTGATTTGGCGCATTTGTCGCCTGTTGCCGCCATTTTCACCTACTGAAATATCAGAAACAGTACGTTTGCGGCGGCAAGAAACAGGTGCCGGCGAGTTGGATGGGCTATCTATCAGTGATTCCGGATGAATGTGGTTCTCTTGCTGCACATCCTCTGCTTGCTCGATGGTAGGGACTACGAGCGATTGTTGAGTAGAGTTTTCGGACGGAGCTTCCAGGTTCTCCTTTGGGCATTCCGCTTCCGAGACAACGCGCCCATGACGAATACTCGCTTGCGTCTCCAATAAGGGGCTCACGAATCGATGGTCTATATTGACGGGGCGTTTCTGACTTGCACCCTGCGACTCACGGACTGGTGAGCTTGGGACAGAGTCGGGTCCGATCGTTGTCTGGCTGCCATGTTGCTGATGTCCGTCATCTGATGTGTGTTTGGCAGCAAAATCTTGCATCAGTAAATCATGTTCAAATAGTTCACCGGAACATGATGGCCCAAACATGCCCCCAATGGTGACCCCTTACATATATCAGCTAAAGACATGTAGGTCCATATGCATTACTTACCATTCTTTAGCCACTCAGCATTATTGACAGTGCATGGCCACACGTCTAGTGGCCGGAAAGCTTCGACGAAGTGGCAGAGTTCTGGTAACGAAGAATGCCTTGAATATGGAAAGTAAATAGTTCTTGGGAGACTGCACTCGTCACGCTGCTTCTGATTCTTGGGATCCTTTCTCAATCTCTCCACAAGCATCATGATAACTTCTTCAGCAGAGTAAGCGTTCAAGGTACCAATGTCCCAGTCCAGTGGAATGTTGCGACCGGTGGAGACTATCTTCTCCAAGGTCCCTTCGAGTTTATCTGACATATCGGTTGAAGAGATAGATGAGGAGAGGAACCTTGGGTTCACGATTAGCATGCCTCCCGCAAAAGTGATATAATGTACAAACGTATTGAACAGGGTGGCCAAGCTAGCTTGGTCCAGAAATTCCAACTCGGCTTCTCGTTGAAGATCATCTCCACCGCCGCCAACGCCAACTTCGGCCAAGTCTTCTCCCGTAGGCAAGTGGGCAACGATAGGTTGAATAGATATAGTGGTAGGTCTTTGAGCCACTTCGCATAAGTTCCCCTTTTCACAACTATGTAAGCGGACATTTACATCTGACGTTAAGCACCCTGGATGTGGCATGTTGCCACACATGTGGCCAGTCAGAGCCGGCGACTCTGGAGTAAGATGAATGTCTGTGTCAAATCTCGAGTCAGGGGAGTTTGATTTGAGCGAACCATAGATCCGGAGTTTGTAATCGTCGACATGAATCTGTTAATATCAGTGACCAGAGTTCAGCGTCCTGTGAGGTCATTTTGACTGACTTTAGATTTTAAAGCCTTAGATAAGGCGAGCCAGACATCTTCATATCCGTAAGTCCATGCTTGTAGGTGGAAGATGGTATCACTTGGGTATTGGGAAACCTTTCGCAACAATTCAGCGATGCCTTGGGCTTTCGTCTGAAAAGGCACATTCTCGGTGAAAGAGGTGTCAAGATAGATTTTATCGAGCGTCTTAATGCCCGACGTATACTCGATGAGATTTGGATTCCGGGAAATTGCATTGACGAACCATGGTTCGCTCCGGATATCTCCTGTGTAAAGAATTGCTTTGTTATCTCCTTCGACCACTTGACTTGGTCAGAAACTGTAAAGGTTGTTTTTGGGTGTCAACCTACAGAACATCACCGCCCCAGGACAATGGTTGGCGTCAAAAAGAGTTACCTGAATCTCGCGGCCCGGGCGAAGCTCGATCGATGTAGGCGTTTCCAAAGGCAAGGATTTCTATTCGTTTCAGTACAAAGTCGGGGAAATAGAGAGTATACATACCAAGACTTTGCGGAGATGCTTGAAGGTTTGCTGAGTTGATTCTAGCACCCCCTTGGCATAGTTGATGCGACAAGGATATCGTTCAAGACGAAGAAGGATCTCTTTGGTGACTGCTGAGCAGTAGACACTGGATCTGCAATTAGTAGAGTACTCAAACCAAGTTTGGAGACGTACAATGGAGATCGCAGGCTCTCGATCCCTGCCAAGTGGTCGCTGTGAACATGACTTAGGAAACAAGCAAGTGGTGGTTGTGTACCGGCATTGCGCCGGAAGAAATCAACTGAAATTTTGTTAGATCATGTTCACCACTTCTCGGAAATCAACTGACTTCGTATGTCTGGAAACTCAGACACAATGCCGTTGAACGTTGACATTTGCAATACTTAGACGCGAACAGTGAATTCGCACAAAGCGGATGTGCAGAATAGAGGAGCCGTTCACGGAACTCGGACGAAATAGGAGCTTTGTATCATTCATCCGCTTGATCGTTGAGATATAAGGAGATCAGTCTCGAGAATTATTTGTTTGTGAGAGAACCTCGTGGTGAGGAGTGTTGTGAAGTTGTTAAAAGAAGGTATAAGCCCGTCAGGTTGAATCATGGAGCAGTCGCACTGTCATTCCTCCGCCCCAGTGACACACTTGACACAGTGCACACCTGCCTGTCTGACCAATGCTCCATGCCTGCCTAAAACACCACCCGCAACTGCATCGCAACAGCATCTCAACCTTCTCCCCCCTCCTCAGCAGATTCTCATATATGCAGTAATGGGTTTCCACACTCTCTATTGGGGTTTCCACTATCTATCGTGAACGTGATCTACGATAAAGTACTCCAGGCGCCACGTATTAACAGAAACAAAGTGCTAAGGATATAGTCCTCTCCCCACAGCCAATAGGTACATACGACCATAGGTAGTGGAAAATACGGGATCCCGTCTGCTCTCCCATAGTCAAGCCACTAACCGGCGGATTAGTAGTTGGGTCGGTGACGACCAGCGAATCCCCGCTGTTGTATGTTTTTGTCTTTTTGGTCTATACTCTAACTCTTATCTAGAGTCATACTCAAAGTAATTAATCTTGGTTTGTGTGGTGGTTAAGTATCGAGGTTGCGGCAAGCCTCGTACGAGATGAGAAATGACTTGTGAAGCTTTTGGTATCGATACATGCATCCAGACTTTCACAAGCGGATCCGTCAAGAACACTACCATCCAAAGTCGAACCTACACCGTTAGCTATTTCCTCCATGCCGCAATGGCTGGTGAACGAGCTTCAATGTCAAATTAGTTCCCGTCCAGTTAACCGGTACGCCGGAAGGAACATACAGATAACATGTAACCAATAAAGGCTGTCTTTCTAAGTTCTGCATGTGTGGTGGTTTAGAACTAAACCTTGGGCTTCTTACACGGGACTTCGCGACATCTATTTAAACTACAGGCTTGAGAGGTTTCTCCATTCATTGTCTATCTCATCTAGTTTCACAGACTGAACCGTCTTCTTCGTTAATCGTCATAGTCATTCATTCCGCAACCGCAGTATGCAGCAACAGACCACCACTACCAGCAGTGATATCCAGCTTCACTCCTTGAGCGATGAAATACACATGGCCCTCGGATAACTCAAACGACTGATCGTTTGCCTTGACACTTGCGCTTCCACGTGTAGCAAGCATAATCTTGGGACCACCTTCACTCAATGCCTCGCGCTCACCAGATTTCAAGTCAGTCGCAAGCACGTTGAACTCGCTGGTAGGTGGCTTGAAGAGCTGGGTCTTGCCCTCCTTGCTTCCAGGATAAGTTTCTGGCTGCAGTGTCGTCTGTGACTTGGTCGTGGGCTCCCAGTTAAGCACTGAGCAGAACTCATCGACATTGTCTCGCTCGGCCTTGGGACAGAATCCAGTGTTGAGAACATTGTCAGAACGTGCCATGCATTCAATGATATCGCCCTGGATATAGGCATGAATCCCGCCTGCAGGAATGTAGATAACCTCGCCTGGCTGGAGCAGCATGTAGTTCATACACAACAGTCCGACTAGGTTGCCAGGGTCGTTTGCTGGGAAATTCTTCTCGAGTTTCTTGGCGACCTGTGGAATGGCCGAGTTGAGTCCCGTAAAGGCGGAGTCGGGGAGTTCTCGGATTGCCTGAAAAGCCTTCTTGATGTCTTCGTCAGATGATGTTAAAATAGTTTTAACGACCTGCTTCAATCCTTCTTGGCTGAGCTTCTCATCCGCGACAGTTGCGCCACCGGCGACAAGGAAGTGTCTCAAAGGCTTCTGGCGTAAGATATCCACGATAGCCTCAACAGGTTTGAAGCCACAGAAAGCCTCAAACTCGGACAATGCGAGGGCGATTTCTGGCTTGTGGTTGCCATCCGTGAATGAGCCTGGGTCCTCCTTGTGCTTCTTACTCGAAAATTCCTTGTTAGGATGAACCTGCAATGGCAATGCTTTCGCAATAGAAAGAACCTTGGGAAGGTATGGAAGCTTGCTGTGTCCAAACTTTGAAGTGATTTTCTCTCCCAAAAGTTCCTTAGGGTATCGGTCCAGAACGTCTTGGAGATCCTCGCCTGTGCTAGCGACATAGGATGGCAAAACGGGGTATGTGCCCATCCACATCTCAGCATATGGCTTGTCCTCGTCAATCTTGAAGTTCTTCTTTCCATCCCCATCCCATCCCGGCGTCTTTTCACAGAGTCGTGCAGATAGAGAGTTAGAACCTTGTTTACCCCATGGGTATTGGTTGCAGCCGCAACGGAGCTGATAGAAGGAAGCTGCTGGTGTCGACATTTTGAGATTCAATGCAAAGAACTGTAATTTTTCTTCTGGGTCAGTGACAGTGGGCAACTAAACAGTAGTAGTTCTCATTGATATATGGCCACTCGCAGCTGATATAATGTTAAGCTCCAACAGCCGAATTCATCGTCATTTTGTCATCACTATCGTTGACGTCAGGCGACAATGATAATTAAATCAAGGTCATACTGTGGTACAATGCGAGGTTCTCGATAGACCCAGTATAATTACATCACTTGTTGGTCCCTCATTCTGTAGAGATACGTACATCTTCGCAAGGCTTGGCACGTCAGCCGAGAGAAGATGAAGGCTTTCCAGATTCGATCCCGATCCGGCCGGACGTTGGCCTCCGGGCATGGCCCGCTTTTTTATATGCTTGCGCCGAAAATCCCGGGCTGTTTCATGGACGTCACAGGACTACATAAAAGACATCTCAGCGTCCACATATGCTGTACGCCCACCTAGGCTATGGTCTCTGCTAAATCCGACTCTCGCAGAGTCAGCGTTGTATCTTTGTATTACAGATACCATCCTAATGCACCCTTACCCTGGAGACCGAACGCAGGATGGTTCTTTTAAAATGTAAACAATTTGTGGAGGGGCTTACTACTATTCATATAGTAATCACTTATTAAATAAATACATGTTTCGAGAGTGAGGTTTACTCCCGTGCTCAAGCAGTTTTTTTTTTATTACCGTTAGTTGGCAAAAACATTATGAGGGATGAGGCCATCCTACGTATCACAAATGAGCATACTGGCCAGGACACAGCCATGAGCACGGGAACTCATTATAAGAAAAGTAACTGAAAACTCCTCGGCAAGCTTTTCAAAAGTCATCTACACCCCGAACCACTCCAGTATAGAGAACGTGAATAGTGGATCCTGACTTACCGGCAATGATCTGTCGTCGGCAGTCGTACTTTTCAGTTTGAGGACCAACAGGTGGATCCGGTGATGTTCAGATCAGTCTTGCGATCAAGAAATGCAAGCTGTCGGCTAATTTACTAGAAGAGTGATCAGCCCCGTCGTCAATAGCACCCGACACATCGAGGTAGTTTGCGGTGTGACAAGTGAGCCCTGGGGCTAGCTTGAGATGGTCTGATGTAACTCTGCCCAACTAAAGTTCATGTATCTGACCATCCCTTATTTCAATGTATTTCCGCCTTTACTATAAACTCAGGATGTCGATGCGTAGAAGCAGGACCTCCTATGTATACCATTTGGTTTATAGACCGCTTACACGGTTGGTCATATCTCGAGCTCGTGGCGCACGGTTTGGCGTAGTCAGAGATCGGGTCGCATAACAGGCCGCGGCGACCCTTTGAGAGGGATCAAGACCCCTGCAGAAGCGGGCCGCTCATTGCTACGGATTGGGGCGGGATTCCTTGTTGGTTTTGTGAAGAACTGACCAATGGTAGATAGAATGGGCGTTCCTGGCTAGGATGAGGCCAGCGTCACTTGCATTAGCCCCGAGTCATCAGACGAGGGTCTTTTTGTATGTGAGTGATATTGAGTTGAGCAAATCGATGATGGTCCAGCTGCAACTTTGATAGTTCGGCAGACCATTAAGATGTTCTCTACCTATCAATGGATGTGAGTCTGAACATGTGACATGCTTCATGCATGGACTATGAAGGAAACATGAATTTGTCTCTCCCATGTGCTTCTATTGGGCTGTGATTAGATGTGATTGAGACGATGAGGGAGCCCCGACCGCTGACCCCAAGCAAGATAACTAGAATGGTTTTCATTTTATTGATCAAAGAAGGTGTGATGGCTAGGAAGAAAAATTGTCTTGGCGTACATGATAATGATGAGGCTTCATTTTGGCGTGACTGTCGAGCGAATCGCCTTGCAGGCCTGACTCGAGATCACCGGACACTATTCAGATAGTGATATGGAGATTGACGGCCATTGCCCATAGAAACAATCTAGCCAGTCCCATGCATTGAAAATTGTGATGCCTAGTGTATTCATCAGCTTGTAGTACGCATTTCACGAAGCCATCATCAGGCAGCTGTGATTCGCATATCTCCACGTAAGTAATAACGCGGCCCATGAATGTTATCACGAACCGAACTCAACATTATTATCGGTCTGTGATAGTGTCGGATTAGAGTGAAGAGGACAATATGGCGGCGGTTAATCATTGAGGCTTAGACAAGCCAGGAATAGTCGAGCCACAAGATACGGGACGAGGAGTGGTTTACAAGGCACCTTTGCAACGTTACTGGCTGTTGATATTTGGCCTAAGATGGCCCATCAGGCGGTTGTTGATGCGGCTAGGCACTAAAAGCTCATGTTCTGGGGTGCTTGAGTGGAGATATATGCCGCGATGAGACGGCGACGGGGGTGATCATGAACCAGTGGTGATGGAAGACGATTATCTGTTGCATATTGAATATTGTAGTATGCATGAATTAAGCGTCGGCGTTACTGTATGGTTACAATTGGTGAGTTGAAACGATGTTCCGTAGGCGCAGTACAGAAGATAAGTTCTGTACCTAATGTCCGCTGAGGTGAGGTCGGGTGGTCTCCAAAATCAGAAGGTGCTGCTAAAAGCTGGAGAGCTCCTGTCCTACCTAATTTAGCCGTCTCTAGAGCTACTGTACATGCCACGGGTCTAGACTTTTATCCGTCTCATCAGCTGCGGTACTCCAGAGTAAACTGCGGTGTTTATTTGCCCTCATCTGAATGTGACAAAACATTGTTCCTGGGCCTACCTCATGTCTTAGGTACCCTTACCGCGCTTCGACGCCCCCCTGGAACTATTTCGTCACCGCCGTACGCCAACTGGGCCTGACGGACCCCGCTCTCCATCAACCTCAACCTCAACTCAACCTTCGACTCAACTTAAACGAAGACACGTCTCTGTCCATCCCTCACAATCTCCGTGGGACGATTCACTATCGACTGGTGTGTCTTCTTGCAGCTTTCGTTGACAGATTTCCTCTCGACACCACCCCTCGACGGCCCCTGTCAACAGTGCATCCCAGCTGCATCTCCCTCGAGCTTATTTGACTCTGCGGTCTCTCTAGCTCTTGGCCGGCTTCGTACTGTAGCTGTCCCCGCTACCGCCCCCAAACCATCCTCTTACGACCCGCCTCTTACTCCCGTTCTTACCACGCACTTCGAACCGTACACATAGATCGGGTCGCATTGCAAGCGGCCAGCCGGTTATCGTCCTCAATATTCAGGGACTTGATCTGTCTCTTCCTCAGCCTTGTCATTCCGCCCGGCATCTCCTGCATCCCTTAGCTGCATCTGTGCGACCGCCAACTTCGAGCTCCAGCAGACATCTCCACGCTCAGCTGCATATTGGCCACATAGCTTTCTTCTCACTCACCTCGATCCGTAGTCCTATCCGATCGCGCCACTACGCTATTCGCCCTTTAGCTGTTGCCTGCCATGGCACAGTCTCCGATGATCTCGGTACCCCTCAAGGCTACCAACGAGATTGACTGGATTGAGCCTCTGAAGGGCTATATCCGCGATACCTATGGCGATGATCCAGAACGCTATGCAGAGGAGTGCGCGACACTGAATCGCTTGAGACAAGATGTGCGGGGCGCTGGAAAGGATAGCACTTCTGGACGAGATATGCTTTATCGCTACTATGGGCAGCTTGAGCTTCTTGACTTACGATTTCCTGTTGATGAGCAGCACATCAAGATATCCTTTACATGGTTCGTTTCCCCGAGGTCGAGTCCGACCGGATGGTGCGCTGCACCTTTTGACACATGCTGATTTTCTATAATCAGGTTCGACGCATTCACACACAAATCTACCGCGCAATATTCACTCGCCTTCGAGAAAGCCTCTATCATCTTCAACATCTCTGCTGTTCTCTCCTGTCACGCTGCTGCTCAAGACCGCGCCGAAGAGTCCGCTCTCAAGACTGCCTACCACAACTTTCAGGCTTCAGCTGGCATGTTCACTTACATCAACGAGAACTTCCTCCATGCGCCATCATCCGACCTTAGCAGAGAGACTGTCAAGGCACTGATTCATATCATGCTCGCACAGGCTCAGGAAGTATTTCTTGAAAAGCAAATTGCTGATAAGAAGAAGATTGGGCTGCTCGCGAAGTTGGCTGCCCAGGCTGGCTATCTATATGGCCAGGCCCTTGAAGGTGTACAGGAAAATGTGAACAAGGCTATTTTTGAGAAAGTGTGGCTGTTGATGATACAGGTAGATTCACCCGTCACCATGCAACATGGCTTATCTTTGGTGTTGTTTATTCGCTAACGGCACCAGATCAAAACTAACCTGCTGAACTCTATGGCACAATACTATCAAGCCTTAGCGGATGATGAGGCTAACCAGCATGGTATCGCTGCTGGAAGACTGCAAGTTGCCGAGGCCCAAGCAAAGGAAGCTGAGCGCATTGCCAGGAACTTTCCTAGCTCGGTTCCCATGAGCTCGAACCTGAGTGCCGACTGTGGAGGATTTCTTCAGGAAATTACGAAACGACATCACTCGACAGTGCAAACTCAGCTGCAAAGTGCTTTAAGGGATAATGACTATGTGTACCATCAAGAAGTGCCCGCTGAGGCCAGCCTGGAAGCCGTCGCCAAACTGCCAGCCGCAAAGCCAATTCCTGTCAGCGAGCTATATGCTGGCCAAGACATTCAACGTATCACTGGGCCTGACCTTTTCGCTAAAATTGTGCCGTTTGCTGTTACGGAGTCTGCTAGCTTATATGATGAAGAGAAAGCCAAGCTTGTACGAGCTGAGGCAGAACGGGTGGAAACGGCCAATGATGAAATGGCAGCCAGCCTGGATTATTTGAGGCTGCCAGGAGCATTGCAAGTGCTCAAGGGTGGATTCGACCAGGATATCCTGCCTGATGAGGACTTCCGGCAGTGGTGCGCTGATGTTTCTGACCAAGACAACCCGGTAGCCTTGTTCGATTCGCTCCGGTCCGAGAAGGATTCCATCCTCATGATCCTGGATAAGAGCACGAAGCAACTCGATATGGAGGAAGGTGTATGTGAAAAAATGCGATCCAAGTATGAAAACGACTGGACACAGCAGCCAAGCTCGAGACTCACAACAACATTACGGGGCGATATTCGCCATTACCGCGAGGCTCTAGATGAGGCATCAAGGAGTGACAACCAGCTAGCGGGTAAACTTCGACAGAACGAAATGGATTTTGATGAAATGCGACGGGCTGCTCAGTCAGGAGAAGTCGACCAGCTGTTCCAACGTGCCGTTGCACAAGCGCGAGCAAGGGGAAGTAACGCAACAAGCCCAGCTGGCATCGAGCCGAATCTTCTGGATGACGACTTTGAAGAGGGTCCTAGTGTTGTGGATCAGATCAACAGGGTTGAGGATATTCTCAAGAAACTCAACCTTATCAAGCGAGAACGAAACCAGGTGCTGAAGGATTTGAAGGAGAAGGTGAGTAAAGTCACTAGTATTCAATCAGAAGCGGGACTAACCTTGCTAGGCTCACAACGACGATATTTCCCAGATTCTCATATTGAATAAGAAGTCTATATCTAATTATGAGACGCAGCTTTTCGAGCAAGAGCTGGAAAAGTTCCGGCCTCATCAGAACCGACTTTTGCAAGCCAACCACAAGCAGTCGGCTTTGATGAAGGAGCTCACGAACACGTTCAACAGATTATTGCAGGATAAGCGAGTTCAATCGGAACAGAGCAAATATGAGGCAATCCAGCGGCAGCGATCATCAGTCATCAACCGATATAAGCGCGCATACCAGGAATTCCTGGACCTTGTCGCAGGCTTACAGAGCGCCAAAAATTGGTATACTGAGATGCGCGAGACAGTAGAGAGCTTGGAGAAGAACGTTGACAGCTTTGTCAACAACCGTAGATCAGAGGGCGCGCAGCTACTCAACCAAATTGAGCAGGAGCGGTCATCGAGCAAGAACTCGCAAGCCGAGATGGAGCGAGAGAGACTCAGGGGTCTCATGGACCGAATGTCGATAGACCCTTCCAAGTCATCGCCACAGCCTCAGACGCAAAATCGGCCAACACCCCCCTCGCAGTATCAACAGGGACAGAATCCGCGATATCCGCAAACCAATTATCAAGGCCAGTATCAGGCGCCGAACTCACCTCCGGCGCAGCAACAGACCCTGGCTCAACAACAAGCATACCAGAACTTTTCTCCGCCACCAACAACACAATCGTTCGGACCTCCTCCTATCAACACCTTTGTGCAGCCTACATATAATCCAAGTCAGTATGGACGCACACCGGGACCTACGTCGCCTCCTCCGAATCAAACGTCGTTCAACATTGGAGGCTACCGGGGCCCTGCATCACCGCCTCCTAACCAGACAACGTTCGGACAAACTCAATCATTTGGAGGATACGGAGCTTCAGCTACACCGCAGACACAGGGAGGCTATGTGCCACCTGGATTCGTGCCACCTCCGCCACCCCCTGGGCCACCACCGCTTGGACCTCAGCAGACATTCCATTATGGAAATCAACCTAACAGCGCGCACCCAAATAGTGCTTATCCACAGAGTGCGCATCCTCAATCAGCAGCCCCTCAGCAGCAGCAGCAAAATGATCCTTGGGCAGGGCTGAATGCATGGAAGTAATTAGGAAGTGAAGACGAGTCTTCGGGTTCAGGGGCTGGCTGTGTGGGGATCCTCTTCAAACGACATAAGGGGCTGGGGGTGACATAGTAGTAAACAGACGAGTATTATGCTTGTCGATGAGTTTTGAGATACATTTGGCTATGATGCATTCGTCTGACCTCAAGAGAAGGGATACGGTGATGGAAGGAAAAGCGACTGTGTTCAAGCATTGCAGCTATGAGAGCTGAGTGGAAGAATACGACATTGCGAAGAATTGCCAACAATATTTGTTTCATCTTGTAAGGTTATCTGAGCTTAGACTCGCCACACTTTAAACCGAGGTTGTGGTTGCGGTGAAATGAGGCTAAAAAGCCCCCACCCAGGCACCCCGCATGCCTTTACCCCGATTGCCCGAGCTGTTTAACCCCAACTAAAGTTGGGCGCTAGACTTGATGGTGCATGTTGGGAGTAATACAGGCAATTTTAGAGGCTGTTCAAGATAATTTATGGAGTGTTTCCCCGCAGAAGTGAACTGAGGTTACTGAGCTTGAACCGGGAGGTTGAACTTTCAGACCGGTCATGTCGCCGAACCGACTCGGCTTCGTTCCGCTACCCGTTATTCCCTGACTATCCGGTCTCCGTGTTCGGATTCTCAAGGGATTGTTTTTTATTTCTATTCTTCTTATACCCTCGTCTTCTCATCTTCTCACTTCCATTTTACTCCTGACTCTTTCGGCCTTTGATTGATTGACCTATTCTCCCGAGACCAGGACACAAGATATCCACATATAGGCTATACCCTGTCGATCAAGAGCCTATTTCGTCATTCATCCTCGGGCAAAAGGCAACGGTCCTCTTTTTTCCTCAGTTGAAGCGCGTTTCTTGCAACAAACAACATATCGAATACTGTCAAAATGGTGTTAAAAGGCGGCGAGGTTGCTGAGCACAACAGCGCAAAGTCGTGCTGGGTTATCGTTCACGTATGGACGCCATGAATTGAGTCGCGACTTACCGACATTTACTGACTTGAATGCGATAGGGTAAAGCATATGATGTGACAGAATTTCTGCCAGGTATGATATACTCAAGAAGTGAACATTGGATAAGACTGACGACTTGCAGAACACCCTGGAGGTCAAAAGATCATCCTCAAATACGCTGTAAGTCTCATCCTTTACTGAACATCGCTCATCGACTAACACGTGCCAGGGTAAAGATGCTACCGAAGAATACGAACCAATTCATCCTCCCGACACCCTCGACAAGTATCTTGATGCCTCCAAGCATCTCGGCCCTGTCGATATGGGCACCGTTCAGCAGGAGAAGAAGGAGATAGACCCCGAGGAAGAGGAACGTCTGCAGCGCATTGAGCAGAAGCCTCTTCTGTCGCAATGCTATAACCTCTTCGATTTTGAGGCCGTCGCTCGACGTGTGATGTCAAAGACTGCATGGGGATACTACTCCAGCGCTGCCGACGATGAGATTGTAGGTTTTCCTTGCACCACTACTGAGGAAGTATCTAAATGAGAATAGACAATGCGAGAGAACCACAGCGCATTCCATCGCATCTGGTTTCGTCCTCAAATTCTCGTCGACGTGGAAAATATCGACTTCTCAACTACAATGCTCGGCACAAAAACAGACATCCCCGTTTATGTAACAGCCACAGCCCTCGGTAAACTCGGCAACCCAGAGGGTGAAGTCGTCCTCACCCGCGCCGCAGCAAAGCACAACATCATTCAGATGATCCCCACTCTTGCATCATGCTCCTTCGACGAGATTGTGGACGCAAAAGCAGGCGATCAGATCCAGTGGCTGCAGCTCTACGTCAACAAGGACCGTGCCATCACCAAGAAGATCGTGCAACATGCTGAGAAGCGTGGTTGCAAGGGTCTCTTCATTACCGTTGATGCGCCCCAGCTGGGACGTCGCGAGAAGGATATGAGATCTAAGTTTACCGATCCTGGTTCCCATGTCCAAGAGGGCACAGATACGGATAACAGCCAAGGTGCTGCGCGCGCTATCTCGACATTCATTGACCCTGCACTGAGCTGGAAGGACATTGCGTGGTTCCAGAGTATTACATCCATGCCTATCATCCTCAAGGGTGTCCAGCGCGTCGAAGATGTCCTCAAGGCTATTGACTACGGCTGCCAGGGCGTTGTTCTCTCCAACCACGGAGGTCGTCAGCTTGAGTTTGCCCGATCCGCCATTGAAGTCCTCGCTGAGACAATGCCTGTTCTACGCGAGCGTGGTCTCGAGAACAAGATTGAGATTTTCATCGATGGCGGAATCCGCCGTGGAACTGATATCCTCAAGGCTCTCTGCCTAGGTGCTCGTGGCGTTGGTATCGGACGACCTTTCCTGTACGCCATGAGTGCTTATGGTGAGGCTGGTGTCGTACGAGCTATGCAACTGCTGAAGGATGAGCTGGAAATGAACATGCGCCTCATTGGTGCTAGCACTATCGAGGATTTGCATCCCGGTATGCTTGACCTGCGAAGTCTATTCCAGCATTCTGCTGTGCCATCGGATAACCTTTCATCTACTGTGTATGATCCTTTGTCTGTGCCTGCTCAGAGACCCAAGGCTGGACCCAAGCAGGACGCCCCCAAAGCGAAACTCTAGGCGAGCTGTGTTTGACGAGACTTGTCTTTTTGGATATTTGTCGTGGCCTTAGATGTAGAGAGGTTTAGATACACGAGTTCTTTATAGCGTCGAACTGTTTATAAAATTTAGGATACATTTAACATCGCTATGCAACCAATGCTAATTTGACTTAATGCTACTCACATATCCATTACTTTCAACGGTGCCGTGCTCTTATAATCCCCTCATAAATTCCTGCAAAGATATTGGTTTTCTCACAGCGTTATTCAACCCTTCATGATACGTCACCCACACCTTGCGCTCCTTTTCCTCGTGCTTGGCTTGCTGCTGGGGAGTATTCCCCGTAATCTCAGCTAGCGGCCGCGCCTCTATGATTCGGCCAAAGAAATCACGCTTGATGAGTGTAGTGTCCTGTGATGATGCTTCGAGAGCATGTTTCTTGGAAGCCATAATCTTGTCTGTGCTGAGGTGCTCAGCGTGTCCAAGTGGGTTGCCTGCTTTGAAGCGAGACTGTCGAGCGCGAGCTTCTCGTTCCACTAATGTTCGCTTTAGTTCTTGATCGAGAACTTGACGAACAGCATAGCGTGTTGGTGCTGCCGAGGGTAGGAGAAGTGATGCAGCTGTTTCGAATGTGGCCAGAACATCGAGATCCCTGTAGTAGTGTTAGTTGTGTTCATCTGTTCGAGGTATAGAATGACTTACGGTTCCATGCGATACACATATTGTGGTGTCCGATTGGTGAGCGACTCACTCTCAATTCTTCCCTTCTGCAGCTCGATACCAACTTCAGCGAGGACCTCAGCTGCACGCTTGACCATGGCACGTTCGCTCTCCCTGCGTACGCTGGCCGTGGATCCTTGACTACCACCCACCACAACGGGCTTGACGTCCGGAGACACGATACGCGCAAGATAAGGGAGGAACTCGGCAGCAACATCTTCAGCGCTGCGGAACGAACGCATCAGTGTGGGTGGGAGTTGTCCCTGCAAAGCCTGGAGCTGAGTCCTATTCTGACGCTCTGCTTCGAAAGCTTGGTAGTCAGCTCGAGAACCAGAGAATGGTAGTGGAGGCGCAGAGTCATCCTCCGCATCACCACCCCAGCGGCGATCGTAGCCCATGCTGGGAAGATAGCGTTTGGGAGATGCAAAAAGGTGATGGCATGCTAGAACGGGCTGGCTGAGATATTGTGCCAATTCCCACTCTTGACTAGCATAAAGCCGTGACTGACATGTGTCGTGAAAGTGCAGCCATTCGTATGCTTGATTAGGCTTGGTAAGGTACAGATCATCGTTGAACTCGCGATTTGGGTATTCGGTAAAAACCTCCGTCATGATATGGCTGATTTCGCCGCTTGTATCAATCATTTGCCGCAGTCTTTCCATGGCATGCTTCTTTTGATACTCGCCGAAACCCAGCTCAGCCTGCGGTTGCTCATGCTGTGTTTTGGATTGAGACAAATCCATAGCTTGCTTTGGAAAGCCGCCACCTTCTTGGAAGAGGCGTGAAACGATATCCTTGACACCACCTCGACCCAGACCTCGAGCACCACCAGCGCCGCTGGTTAGATCTTGAAGGACATTGCGCTCCAGCCACTGCCGCGTGAGAGAGCCCTTTCCTTTCAGATTTGATGCGCGAAACCGCCCCGCCACCCATTCACCAACGACCATGACACCTCGAAGGTCACCCTCCACTGTGCTCTCAGCTCCCCGTCTAGCGTCAATGCCGCTCGTCATACCCCAGGCCGCCTCACACAGCTTTCGTGCAGCGTCTTTCTCGCAAGGGATACCCTCCTTTTCAAAAACATTCTTTAACCTGGTAACCACCGACTCCATAGTGGGCTTGCCAACGTGAATAATTTCTGCCAAATTGGAATGCCGGAGTGGTCGAAGCGCTGGCGCGTATACATCGTTACAAATGAGAATCAGGGGTCGGAGCAGCCGGAAGTCGTCACCCTTCTTCTTCCTTCGCCCGTAATTTTCTGTGGTGGCACCCGACGCATTCTTCTGATCCAGGAGAACAAGATCTATCAGTGCTTTGACAAAGCCGCCTTCACCTGATCCCCCTGAACCAGATACAACGCCATCCACTTCATCCACCACGACGCACGCTGGTTTGGCCAATTTTGGGGGGCCGTCTCCGTCCTTGCGGTTACTGACAGTTTTGACACTCTCTGTTCCCAAGCTTGTGCGGATGCGGTTCTTGACGACATCGCGACTTCGGTCGTCACTGGCGTTAATTTCCATAACTTCATAGCCTGCTTGTCTCGCACACACGTGTGCCAACGTTGTCTTTCCCAGTCCCGGAGGTCCCGTGAGCAGCAAGATTTTTCTATGAGGCTTTTCCTCCTCTTCTTGTTGCTGAGCACCTGGTCGTCTGGCTATCACGGGCTTTGACTTTGCTGCTCCAGGGAACACCACGGGATCCCACTTTTTCAACCATCCTAGTACCCGTCTGTTGGTATTATCGTTACCACACAGATCCATAAAGTTCCTTGCCCGGTATTTCTCCGTCCATAAGCGAGTTCTCTTGGGCCTTTTGCTGTTCGGCAGCTGAGGTTCGACTGATTGTACAGGCACATTAGGCCTTTGCGGCTGCGTTTGTTTCTGACTTGCGATCTCTGCGGATGCAGCGCTCATGAGATTGTGGATATCTACGCCGTAGTAGCTTCGTTTCGCTCGCCCTTCTTTCGTTTTCGATCGAGCTGCGACCATGGACTCGTATGTTGGCGCAGAGTTGGCCTTTCGCTCCTTGATTGTGACGGACTTGCCGTTACATGTTGTTGCCTTGAAAGATTGCGGCACAAGATTACTGAAAA